ATCCGGAACTACCCACAAGTAGTCATATCACTTTATTGGTCAATCTGTACAAATTCCTGGGCTAATCCAGAACCAGAACTCTCAAGTGATTAATTACTGTTATGTTGAGTTAGCCGGTTTGCCTATCTACTTGTACTAATACATCAATGTCTTGTAAGAGATACTGCATCAAAGTAGACTTTTACTTGTTAATAACAACTTTTTTGTAGCTTTCTTAGTGCTAACAAGTTAGGGTCAGTAATCCATCAACCTGTCACTTTTGCTGGTGCACTTAGTTCATTGCTAGGCAACATCTTTATGTAACTTTCTATGCCACTGACCTAGCTAATTGAACTTTCTAGTTCTGGGCCTCATTTCGTAATACAGGTGTTTTTACTTACGGCCATTATCCATGTAAATTTTCACTTAAAACTCTAACAATTGTTATAACTTTATTCTTAAACTCTTTTAATTTATGAATATCTTGAAGCAATTGCAAAATTTCCTCAAAAATATTCAATTGCTTCACATGGAAGCATTATCAAAAGCTAACAACAAGAGTAACACTGTATATAATACCAGTACTAAAAAGGTTTGGGTATAAATGCAAAAATTATGAAAGAATCACATAAACCCGCATTGTTGTTGTTTTAATATAGATATAGGCATATAAAAATATACCTTGAACATATTTATGAGAAAAATATCATTAGTATCACTTCAAGATGACCTTAAAAGTGTATTTGCTCATTGCTTGACATCATTAGGAATTGCAGGTAAAAGTGAGAGTTTGAATATCAGAATTCAAACATTCAATACCGATTAGTAGGATTGCAACAACTCCCCACTGAGAAAAAAATTATATACAACATAACATAAATGCACATTACTAAAGACATAGTTCTTCTTCCTATCATGTCCTACCTTGTTTGTAGTTGAAATGGGTGTATTTCCATATGTTTTTATAAACCTGTAACAACTGCTTCAACTATAGTTTGCATGATTTTCTTACTTACTGTATGTTTATATCCATGTAATTTGTCTGCCTTGAAATTTCTTTAAGCAGAAATTTCACATTAGTTTATATTAAAACACTCAATTTGTTATTCAACAACGATTATTTTATATACAATTTTAAAATTTAGACTGTTTACAATCTCAAAATTACAATAAAAACTTACTGTACATGGTAAAAAAAATCCGATGAGACTGGAAACAAACTGCACACTACATGATTTGACGTTGATGTTGTATCGACAGTGGAAGTCACGTGACGCTGTTAACAGTGATGAATTTCTGAATTATTATAAATTATCGGGGAAGACGAGTTTGTTCAAGACGCCTTCTTTTTTAGTACATATGCCTGCAGATTGAATGAAGAGAGTTCCAGGTAATTTATGATTCTGTTTTGAGCTAGTGTGTATTTTCGAGATTATGAATTGCTGTGATTTATAGAGTGTATTATAATAAAATTAATTAAGTTTAAAGTGACGAGAAACGTACTGATTGTGAAATTACTGTGTGCTAAAAGTTTGTATAAAAAAAAATAAACTGGTTTAATCAAGATGGGACTAGTATGCTGAAGTTCCTCCAAAAGAATTTATACCGGAAATTAACAAACAAGCAGATAGCAACAACGTTTTTTACAGCATCATCCTCAGGAGTGTAATGTTTTGCAAAATAACACTATTTATACCATTACAAAATCACCAATTTATATATTAAAAATACATCGAAATATGTAGTGTGAGAAACTGTTTCCAGTCTCATCGGGATTTTTTTTTTACCCTGTACAGTAAGTTATTTGCATTTTGTTGTAATTTTGAGACTAGAAACAGTCTCATTTTTAGAATTGTGTATAAAATAATCGTTGTTGTATAAAAAATTGAGTTTTTAACATTGAACAATACACAAATGCCAATGGATTTTAATATTATTTTATATCTTTAACGAAAACTATTGCAAATTTGTCTCCTACTAAGTTTTCAAATATGAGAGTTTAACATGAAAAGTTTGCAGCCATAATAATGTCAATGAAATATTAATTTTAAAGTATGACCTTCTTTAACAATTAATGTTAATTTTACTGTGTTATCAAATGGATTTAAAAACATTTATTACCTTCATAACCTACCAGTCTAATTATGTGATCTAAAAAAAATATATTGAACAGGTGAACTCAACCAAACTCAGAAAACCTACTTTGTGGTGGAAAAAAAAAGGAGAACAAGTATTTAAACTGTCGTTGTTGAACTTTGCACAAAACTATTCAAGGGTTATTTGCACAAGTCATCTCTAATTTTGAAATTACAGACTAGAAGGAAAAAGCTAGCCAGCAACCTCACCTTCTACCATCTCATGTGCTACTGTAATTCGATAGTGGGATTGGATCATAATTCTTATAAAGTATCTACAGCCCTAAAGTGTGGAATCAATTTTTGTTTGTGGTGAAAATGTGTGAACTATAGAACCTCGGGCATGCTAACCACTGGGCCATGTTGAACCATACATAAAATTTTTTATAGCCATTCCAATTTCTGAAGAGCTTATTTCTTTATAGTAATAGACATACAACATCTAAATATCTTATAATAGTTTAATGCTCCAAGGAATTTCATATATATATATATAAGAACTGTAGTGGTAATATAATTTGATATACCTCAATGTGAATTTAAATAAATTGCCTAGCTTGAAAAATTTGGACACTTCACAAACAAAATGGATTTATTCTCAAAATTTTGGTAACTTTACATATAAAATGGATATATCCAAAAACATATGATAGAAAAGCTCAAACAAATGAGATGTTTTCAAATTCTGCTGTGTTTTTACTCAAGTCATGGATGGTGTAACACTAACAAAATTATTTTATTTCTATACAACACTTCATGATAATTACAGACGTTTAAACAGTTTGAACATGTTCAAGATGGTCAGTATTTGTAATAAAGAAACACTGAATGTTTTTCTGTTAATAACTTGTTTGTTTTATATCATTAAGTTTAAAAACCTTGCAATCACTTTCAAAGTACAATAAAAGAAAACTTACACAAAGTAATCATATTGGACAATACTGAAAATATCACTAACAGAAAGTCACCATACTAATGAATCAGTGCATTCTAATCATTATAGGCTTTAGTTTTCTTGTATACTGACTTGTGACATATGTACTTTTAGTTACTTTACTATGCAGAATAAACAGTGTTAACGTACATTGTATTAGTTTTAATCTATCTAATAATCTTGTTTGATTGAAAATTATTAATAGTTAATACTTATAATAATGTTATGATTCACAAACAACCAGTACAACACAGAATTGGATTTGCTGTTGTACTTTTATTATTTCTGGATGTAGAAATACATCATGCTTACCGTCAGATTACATTATGGATTGAAAATAGAATGCTTCCACTTTGCAGGAATATCAAATACCATCTTACTCCAACTACTGTCATTTTCTTATTTATCTACTTTTTGTGCATATTGCCATGTGTGCATTATCAGAAAAAATCTACTGTAATCTAAAAACAGTGTTTTTCAAATGGAGCTTTAACCTTAGAAAGAAAGTGAGACTTCTCTTTTGTTTTTTTATACGTTTTCTTTTGATATTGATTGGTGATTCATACAGTATCTACTCTCAAAAATAATGAGATAACTTTGGAACTTAGTTCTGTACTGTTCATTGAACTTTTCCATATATCAATGTTCCAAATCATTAATATTCTTTTTTTTATTAAATGCTTCAAAAGATTTTAATCCATTAGTAATGCTTAAACCATATTTCTATGTTTTAATAAAAATACATACATATCTACATGAAATTCATTATCCTCTGCCTAATATTTTTTATTTTTTTATACTCCCTCCTTTGAAAAATATATTTACATCTGTATAAGCAATAAATATTGGAAGGAAAATGGTACAGTCCAAAATTATTTTACACTTATCATTAATGACAATATTTGACAGTACTTGAACCTTCAGCCTTTGGTCAAGAGGATGAAAATTAAAACAATCACAACAATGATCAGTAAAACTTTACAACACTTTTTCTTAATTAATTTAACCCTTTAAAAAATATGAGTTTTTTTAAAATCATTTTTTAACTCTTTAAATACAGTAAAAAATAAGTAAAAAGATAAAAATCCTAGTCTGTTTGAAAAACTGAGAACCACTGACACAATTTATGTATATTAGGGATGCACAGGTACCCGTCCAGATAATCGGCCCCAGTTGGTTGTTGGGCTACCCGGCAATACCCATCGAAGTTAACAACAGCCGAATTCAGGTAATTGAAAATGGCATCTAAGCCCTAATCTTTATGGCAACTTATGCGGTACCAAAAGTTACAGTCAATAATTGGTTTAGTTAAAAAAAAACATGTTCTGAGCAACAAAGGCTGACCACCCGCTGAAATTTGGAGATTCAGAGAACAATAGAGGTTAATAACAGGCATGGCTTGAGAAGTGGATTTCTATAGAAGATGGTGGTTTTGAGAACAATAGGGGTTATGGTTTGAGAAGTTGGGGCTGGGCATTAATCGGAATAATGATTCCGAAATGTGTCAACATCACTGTTTCTGCGTTTAGATTCACTGGCCTCACTTTTGCAAGTCAAATGAAGCTCAATTTCCCACAATGGCCAGGATAGCAAGACATTATCTCTCCGCTCCTCTAACAACAATGAATGGGCTTTTGGGGCCACTGACAACATTATCACACATAAAAGGTCAAAAACAAATTCTAAAAATACAGCCATTCTGTAAAATGGGGTGCACATTTTTGCTAGTTAATCTTGAAAGTTGAAAATAAAACTGGAATGTTTTATTGGTGATTAATCAGTTAAATGTAATAAACATAAATTTTGTCTTTTTCTCTAATTTTTGTGTATGTTGTTTATTTTTTTGGGGGGTGGGAAGGGACAAATGGAGAACCTGGCCCCGGCTGAAGCTTAGTTTACTACCTATGCATCCCTAATATATATAGAATTAAAACTTTAAAGTTCAGTATTTCTTTTTTTTTTTTGCTGGGAATTTAATGATGGATTTTGATCTTTTAATTCTAATACCTTTTTTCTTTACCCAGCAAACATTAGTTTTGAGGTTTATCTGTTTATTAGCCAGATATTCCTAGTGTTAATAAGCCCCTGCAGCAAGTACAATAGAAACAGAAGGAAAGGCCAAAATGTCATAGTCAGGAAAGCTTGCTGGAGGAAGTAAGGTTGTTATGGGGACACAAGAGAAAGAACTTATATCCACAACAGAAGAAATGGAAAGCTTAGGATAACCTGCTGAGAGAATAATGAATGTGACTGATGCCAGAAATTTATATATGCTCATGTTACTAACAGTGGCAGAATCTGTTAAATAATTTTAAAAAAATCGTATTTTACTATTAATTATGGTACAACATTTTAATTATAAGTTTAATTATAATACAACATTTTAATTATGTGTAAATATTTCAGTAAATATAAAAACACCCATCATGATAACTGAAACAATATGTTTGAATAGTTAAAATATATGTGATCTAACTAAATATTACCAAAATTCCCTAACACCAAATTAGATAACGTGTTAATATAACTACATATTGCCAAAATTCCCTAACACCAAATTAGATAATGTGTTAACCTAACTATATAATACTAGAATTCCATAACACTGAATTAGATAATGTGTTAACCTAACTAAATATTAGTGGAATTCCCCAACACCAGATTACATAATGTGTTAACCTAACTAAATATTACTGGAATTCCCTAGCACCAAATTAGGTATTAACATACTCATACAACGTGTTCTATTAGTGTCCTTTCCCATGCCATACTGTACATAAACTTAATTTATCTACTTACTATAAGATGCCAAAGTAAACATTACATCAGTTGAATTTGGTTATTTATATGAAAATTCCCCTCACCATAATAAGCTGTACATCAATCTTATTTCTCTACATACTATTAAAATGTCTCTCACACCAAACAAACATCATTAGCATGATTATTTTATTTTAAAATTAATTTCCTTTACATCACTTTAAAATGTACCTCAATTTAATTTTGTTAATCACATTTGAAATTCCTATCACACTGAATCACATTACACCAATTGAATCTATTAATTTTTAATATGTTCATCACATCAAGGCGGGTATATAAAAGTCAACTTTCCTGTCTGATATGGAAAAAGTGTAACAATAGCATTAGTGATCTTTTATCTCGGAATAACGTGCTGTCTATCATGTATAATAATTGAAATTTATACGTATACTTAACGTATAATCAATCTTAATTAATATTTTCTATTGGCTTGGAACTGGTAGAAGCTCTAAAATTTTATCATGTGATTTTATTGCTTACTTGTATATAGTATTAAGAGGATTTTGTTCAAAATAATACAAAATATTGTCCCATGTGAACTTGGTTTTGTATCATGTCTTTGATGACCGAAGCCTTTGCAACAATGGTGCTACAGCTGGAAAGAGAAGTGCTTTTTTGTGTATGTAAGCATGTAGCATATAGTCTATGAAACAGACCAGGTGTTTCTTTTCTAGTATAGAAACATGAATATTTCAAAATTTTTCACACATAAGCATGTACAGGATTTGCAATAGAGAACTGATTATGGGATGTCAATAATGCGCTGATGTTCCTGTTACCTATTGCCAGAGGTCCCTTTTGTTCCAATTAATTCTATCATTGAAGAGGATTGTGGTAGATAGCAGAGTTTAATACATTATGTAGCTTCTATAGAAAATCAACTGTATAGTGGGTTTTGTGACAACTGAAGGCTGTCATCCCTACTTCTATTTATGGAAAGACCAAATGTCACATGCGTAGTTCATGCATTCTGAGAGAAATAACATTACTGTTTTTATACATATATATATATAGATGTCATACTCTCTAACAGAAAAACATATTTTTTTTCAGATCTCCTGAATAGGGAACTCTCTCCAAATATTAAAGCATGGTGCTGCCTTGTAATTTGTTTGGAAATAAAAGATTGCATTGCCCTTCATTTAACTCAGTCATGGCCAGAAATTACATTTTATTTTGCAGAACATTTTCTGTAATTCCTCTTGTTATTTCCAGTTACTAATCTTACCAATAAAGTGAACAGTATACCTGTGATTATAGAATTATGAACATACTACCCATGCTGTACAAGCACATCTGATATTGGCAATCTGTGCTAGAGATTGTAACATGGTGTACATATATAACTGACACTGGCTACCTGTGCTAGAGATTGTAACGTGGTGTACAAGTATATCTGATATTAGCACTCTGTTATACATTTTTACGACAAAATTAACTACAATACATTTAAATAATTCCATTAGCAGTTATTCTTTACTGATAATTACTGTTTAATGAAATTAATTTATTACATTGTTTTGTATTGATGTTAATGTCTGTACAAAATTTAAACATGTACAATAAGGCACATTTCTGGTCTATACTAGTAACAACATAAATAAAACTTTTATATCACATGCATGACTGCTGTTACCGTAACACATTAGTTTGAAAATAAACAATTCATATAGTAAAAAATATAACAGTCATTTTTTTTGCAAGAAACATCACACATCACTAATGTTTTCACTGAAACTCGACTTATATAGATTAAAAGTTATTCTTTATAACAATAGCCACACACACACACAGATATATATATATATATATATATTATGAAAAATGGAAACCAAAGGTAGTTTTGTACATGGTAAAAAAATTGATATCCTTTAAACTAATGTATTTTATATTTGTTTTTCAAAACACAGAATAAAAATAAAAATCATATCACATGAAAAATATTACAAATAAACAATAGAACAAGTGAGGAATAAAATACTGTTTCTGGGCAGTTACACATCTGAATCAATACAAAAATAAGAAAGTCATTTAGGAAGCAACATAAGAATATAAGTACATCAAATAGACAACACAAAACTTGAATTGGGAACAAACACATAACAGATCATCTTAGAGATTGAAAATATTCTATACACTACAGGAAAAAAAGATCAAACTAAGCTAACACGAAGCTCCTCTTAAGAGTTATATCAGTCTCTTTTTTTTCATAATTTAATTAGGATAAATTTTTCTTGTCTTCTTTATAATATTTAAGGTTTCTAGTGCCAATTTTTTAAGATGATAAAACAGAATCCTAGTTGATGATTTTTCTATGAGATTTCTTGATTGAAAGTTAAATATATACCAGGTAAACACATGGAATATTTATAAGTTGAGTTTCCCCTTGCCATGGGATATACTTAAATTCTCTGCAGCTTCTTAGCAGCTACTAGGGGGCAGTGTTCCTGCTAAACTGTACGGCCGCACAACAACCAATCAAGTGCCACGCACATCTTCGGTAATGTTGACGGCCTCAATGACCTTGGCAGTCGATAGGCCTAAATCCCACATAACCAACTGGTAGCATTGCAAAATGGCC